ACCAACAGGTGCAGATGAAGCAGAAATCATTCAATGCAAACGTCACTAGTTTCCTTTGTTGTCTTATAGAGATGACTGAACTGAATTAAGAACTGATTTAACCTAGGACTCCTTTTAATATGATCTTTGTAACTGCTCACTGCTAGCCTCCGTCTAATGCCTAATGCCATTTGTGGCTCCTGCCAGTACTAACTGCAACTTAGTGGCAGCTTCATATCTTGATATCAAATTTGGATATGTTGTATAACAATGGAGAAATCTTTTGATTGTCTTTATGCTGATACTTTTTTTCTTTTTAGTGCTGTGTGATTTCTAAGTTTTTGTTTAATGCATTTTCTTTCTTGTGCAGGTTCAACAAACTGATAAACCTCTCGATCCTGCCATCATTTGCTTGGAACTTGGTCTGGTTGATATATTTCTTGGTCTCTGCAGATTTGAGTGGCAAGCTGGGTACCAGGAGTTGGCCACTGCTTTGTTCCAGGCTGAAATTGAATTTAGTTTATTCTGTCCTTCTCTAATGTTAACGGAACAGAGTAAGCAGAGGCTCTTTGAGCACTTCTGGAACAGTAATTGTCCAAGAGTAGGAGAGGATGGGGCCCTTAGTTGGTTCACCTGGTTGGAAAAAGAGGAAGAAAATAGGCAGAGAATTCTTAAAGAGGAGAATTCAGATAATGATGATCAAGGAGGTTGGACTGGTTGGTCAGAACCATTGTCAAAACAGAAGGAAACCAGCATAAATTTAGATGTTGATAAAAAAGATGTCACTGCTGACGAGCTCAATGATGAAATTGAGAATGAAGATATTAAGCAAGAAGATGATACCGAAGCTTTGCTAAAACAGCTAGGCATAGATATTGATGCTGAGGACAGTGGTGAGGCTAAGGACACTTTAACCTGGCTTAAATGGTCCAAAGAAGAATCATCAAGAGATTGTGATCAATGGATGCCTGTTCATGCAAACTCTGGTGCTGTCTCTGGCTCTCTCTCTTTGCCTGCCAGGGTGGTTGTGGGAAGGGGTTCACTTTTGCATGAACTTTTTGTTCTTTGCAACTTTTGTTAGCTTTCTGAGTTATGTTTAGCTGTTTAGTTTTCATTAAAATTTTTCATTTATGAATGAGAACCCTTGGTATGCCCTTCTGTTATTATCTTACATGTTTACAAAACATTCAATGTAGTTCAAAAATCACAAATGGGGATATGCCTTATGGGTACATGTGAAAGTAGGTTGGATGCTGAATGATTGCACTTTGGCAGAAAAAATGTCTTAAAATGTAGTATATTGTGAAACTTTTGAGATTTTAAGCTGAACTATGTTTTTTTCTTAATTGGTTTTTTTGCCTATACTTAGAAACTGGCTCTTTTTTACACTAATTAATTAAATATGGATTACTGGATTTATTATAAAATTCTTGGTGTCAGCTATCTTTGTGATATTAGATCTCATTATTTGTCTGTACTTACAATATTGTTCATTTGATCTGGCTTTATAATAGGTCTGGTCTCTCAGAAGGATGAGGTACACAGTGAAGTGGATGACCAATTTTCTCGAGTTATACTATTTGAAGATGTAAGCGAGTACTTGTTTTCTTTGAGCTCAGAAGATGCTCGCTTATCCCTTTTATACCAATTCATTGATTTTTATGGTGGGAAAATCTCTCCATGGTAAGTTTACATTTTTCATTTTGTTTAGTTGTTACATTTTCAATTTTACAATTAGTTATTCCGCAATATCTATGTCTCTCACTCTTATTTACACATACAAATAACACAATTTTCACATATAATGTTGTGTAAAAGGTAAATAAATACCATAGTCATAGGAAAAAAACTCATTGTTTTTTTGGGGTCTAAAGGCATAACACATGGTAGTTCTTTAATGGTTTAGCAGTTTAATTGAGTCTTATTATCTAGGGGCATTTAGCTTTTTCCATCAAACTTGATTCTAAGTTGGTTATTGAATCTTTTATATAGTCCTTGATTTTAATTTATTGAGATTGATTTTAATTTGATTTTTTTTTTCTTTTTTCTCTTCAAAATTAGAATTAGGATTTTGTTCATCCTTGTAAATATTTTCTTGGAAGTTATTGGAGTTTATTTCTCTGAGAGATTTTGACCTTTTTGATTAATTCCAGTGGTATTTGATTGTTTTTCTCTCCCTTTACAGTTTTCTTTATTGGTTCTTCTGCTTTGTCTTTTCCTCTTTTAATAACTTAAGCCACTCCCCTATTACTTCTCATATTGTTCTTTTCCTTTCAGTTTCCTGAAGTTTGATTTTTTGAATTCTTGTTGCTACCCACATACTTTAACTAGAGCACAAATTCTGTGATGTTAATCACCTAGTTTAATTGTTGTATGAAGAGGACAATGCTGGAGGGCATGTGTTTATAATTTTATGCCTTGTAGTTGTAAATGCATTATTATTTATGTATATTAATTTCATGTTCCTTTCATTACTCAAAATATATATTTTTTCCAGGACATGCACGAATAGTTCAAGTTGGATTGAGAAAATTCTTAGCTTGGAGGTGTTGCCAGATTATATTTCACAAAATTTGACAAGCTCTTCTGACGATTGTGCAAAAGAACAGTACAGTTCAATCAGTTCCAATTTAACATTTCTTTTGGATCGTGCCAATGACATCTCTAGGACTGAGATGATGAAATTTCTTCGTAATGCTATCTTACTGGGTTTAACTGCTTTTCCCCGTAACTACGTATTGGAAGAAGCTGCTCTTATTGTTGAAGAGCTTTTTGTCACAAAAATGAATTCTTCTAGCTGTTTGGTGGCCCCATGTCAGTCTTTAGCAAAACGACTCCTAAAAGGTGATCGACAGGTAGGTGTTTCATTGCACATAGTTACATCCTTGGCTATATGTTATTTCATTCTTCACAAAACCATGCTTTGTCTATGGTTCGTGGAACTTTTGAATTCCTGCATAAATGTGGTGATGGGATTAGGCTAAAAAAGGGGGGAGTTCAGTTTGTACTGAAGTGGAAGAAAGAGGGTATGGCTTGTGGCTTGAACAAGATAAAATGATGCAAGTTTAGGTTGCTTAGATTGCTGGCAATATTGATTATGTTGCCAGCCATATTTTGTGTACTGTAGCAGCAAGGAACAGAAAAGAAGAAAGAAGAATAAAGAATTTAGAGAAAGAAAAAACACACCCTCTAGGCATCCATGCCTCAAGGAAACCAAATTTGCTCATAATTGTGTTGTTAAAAGTCTCCTTATTATGGAGTGTGCATAGGTATTTGTAGGGATTGTTGGTTATCCTTTAACCTTATTGGATTAGGATTTTAAACTTAAATAGTCTCTGAATTAGAGACTAATTAATAATAAATAACAAACCATGACTCCAAGAAAATAAAAACTAAACTTCTACAAGTCTTCTAAAGACTTGTAGAATGACCTAACCTTAGCTAAATTACATAAACAGCGCTAGGGTATAAAAACTCCAGAAATGACATTTTCTCTCATGGCCATGAGCATAGAAGGACAGACAAATTGTAAATTGCTTTCATTCTCACACGTATTATGCTTTACATTATATACTCCCAAACTTCATTCACCAATAAAGGATTACAATTTGTCTAAGATTGCACCCAGAGACATTGGAAGACAAGCTATCCAATTGGATTACAGAAACACAATAAAAGCAAAGGCCTCTAGCTTTCTGCCACCAAGGTAGATCTAGCTTCTAAACCATTCAAAATCTATAAACCACTCACCCTTAGTGATTTCTGATGATGAATCCAACTCTTGTGAGTTTTGTTCATTCTCTAATGATATGATTCCAACTCTTATCAGTTTCCTTCATTTTCTAATGATCCATTTGTAACAATTTTTAATGTCTCCTGCTAGGGTCGTTACCATTTTGTCTAAATCATTTTTTTGGCATTGCTGTCCAGACACTGCATTATAGTGTTCATGATTTTAAGGTTGCATGGATTTTGTATTTTCTTTGACAGTTCTGAAGTCGCTAAATTATGGTTAGAAAGGTCTAGCTTGAAATGAAGTATACTGTCTTAAATAACTAAAGTAGCATTCAGGGTTCTTCAATAGGTCTCTTTGAAATAGTATTAACTAACAAAGAAAACTTCAAGGTCATTAAATTAATTAGTTATTTAGGGTGAAGATATTGTTATTTGCTTGTAATCTGGATACTGGTTTCTGCTTTTAGTTTCTTTTATTGATACTTGCACGGTTGCACCTGTGCTTGTAGCTTAATTTGCGAGGTGCATGTTCCACCATCCTTAAGAAATTAATTCCAATCCCCCCAACTAGCACCACCAAAGTTGAAAAGTTTTATTTATTGGTACTTTGTTTTTGTAGGATCTATTGCTTTGTGGAGTTTATGCACGGAGAGAGGCTGTTTATGGAAATATGGATCATGCAAGAAAAGTTTTTGACATGGCTTTATTGTCAAAATCAGGGCTCTCATCGGTAAGGTCTTAACGTTCCTTGTAGTATGTTTTCTAATGGATTTCTCTTTCACTTGGCTGCAACTGCAACAGAAAGTGTTACTTCTTAGCCAAGTTAGTCAAGAAGGTCAAAGCTAAACTAGCCTTTGGCAAATCTAAGTAGTGTTATAGAATGCAGAAGCTGTCTTCGCTAAAATGCTTTGATGTACTAAAATTGGTGACATGTTTAGGAAAAAAAAAATTGTATGACATCAATTAGAGCAATTCTTTTAGGAAGAAATGAAAGAAGTCCTCAACTTCTACTTTCTAGGTAAAAGTGGCCTGAAAAGTTGGGGCAAATACCCACTAACACAATACGTTGCAGCCTTTAGATGTGCACCTGCACCTATCACATCAAATTCCTACTTTGTCAGCCTGTTACTGTAGCATTAACAGTTTTGACGTCAACCAATATCCTTAATTTCCATGGGCTGTTCTAATATGGAGTTATGTTTTGAAAATTTTATACGCTATTTTCTTTCTTTGATGTTCTAGGTTAGTTATGTTATTATTTTAGGGCTAGTTGAGGCTGTAGAATATGTAGAATATGATCTTAATGAGTCTTCTATGTTGCAGTGGAATGCATTTATCTAATAAATAAATGTGGTTTCTTTATAAAACTTGAACCATTATTGTTCATGAATATCGTGATAAAAATTATTTGCAACTAAACAAGAGAAAGATTCACCATATTCACAAGAAAATATGAGAATGTTTGTAGGATAGAAATAATGCCATTTTGTTCCTCTTTTTTATGTGAAAGTACTTGTCCCAGATGATGTTTTACATTTACATTTGATTTGTAGTCATCAAAACTAAGAATAACAGTACTGCTATTATAGATCACCTTTTCTCTTATTTTCTTTTCTACTGTCCTTATTTATTATTTTAACCTTGTAATCCTCTGATAGTTTTACATCTAGGAATATACATCAGTTGGCATCATTATTATGATTTTTGCTCTTTATCTCCTTTTATTGTGCATGCACTCAAACATGTAAGGACAATATCTATATATATATATATATATAGAGTAGGGATCCACTTGCACACAAATCTTACACACCACACTTATACAAAATCTTGACCATTGATCTCTTCACTTTCAATGGTTAAGATTTATTCACGACTTTTTGGATGAAAAGGATAATTATTTTTAATAAATATGATAAAAAGTAAATAAATCTCAATCATTGAAAGTGGAAAGATGAATGGTTAAGATTTTGTGCAAGTGTGGTGTGTAAGACTTGTGTGTAAGTGGATTCCTACTCATATATATTATAATTGCCAAAAATTAGTGCTTTTACTATTAAAATAATAAAATATTAATCATTATCCTATTCATATGGCCAGGATCTGCAGTCAAATTCTTCCCTTCTATATTTATGGTATGCTGAGTCTGAGCTTGTAAAAGATTCTGGCAACAATATGGAATCAACATCTCGTGCAGTGCACATTCTATCATGCTTTGGAAGTGGTGCAACATACAGTCCATATAAATGTCATCCATCAAGCATGCAGTTGCTGAGAGCACACCAAGGGTTTAAAGAGAAGATGAAAACTGTTAGATCACAGTGGGTGCGTGGTATTGTTGATGATCAGTCAATTGCTCTTGTTTGTTCAGCAGCTTTATTTGAAGAGTTGACAACAGGATGGGCCACGGGCATTGAAATCTTAGATCAGGCCTTTTCCATGGTTCTTCCAGGTAGGCATTTCTGTGTTGTCTTTTCCCCACCTTTCTAATTATTTGACAGCGACTCATCTGATTTTTTTATATTTTCTAGTGAAGTGTTGCCCTTCAATCTGCTTTATATGTTCTTCTAATGATCATATGCTGTTTAAATTTTAAAAGTCTCTGACTGTGATCCTATTAATCTTCATTATCATTAATCTTCATTGTCATTTATGCTTGCTTCCTGGCTTTGACTTGTAAGCCTTCACGCTTGATAGAATTGTATACACCTCTTGCATTGCTTTGATCTGAGACTTCTTAAGAAATTAAAATCACACATATTTAGCCCAATTCAGAGACAAGAAAATTGCAGAACAAGTTTAATCTGCCTGTTTCACATTTACACTTCAGGACCAGCTAGTGTAATGGTGTATATGACTGAACTATGAGTTTCTATCTGCAAAAGACTTAGATTTCTGAAGAATTGTTGCATTCTGCTTTGACTTTTTGCATTTCTCTAGTAGTTGTACATGCCTGTTAAGATTTTAAATATAACTAGAGTAAGTTAATTTCCTCAAAAGGCACTTGAACAATAATAGTACAACACCTTTTCATCCAATAATGTGCCCATTAATCTTTGCTAACTCAATGCTTATTATTATTTACAGAAAGAAGAAGCCAAAGTCATCAACTTGAATTTCTGTTCAACTGTTTTGTTAAGATGCTTCAGAGACATCAAAAGCAATCTACTCTGTCCAAAGTGTGGGAGTCTGTCTTACACGGGCTTCAGATATATCCTTGTAGTCCAGAACTTTTTAATGCTGTACTGGAGTTTGGTCATCTTTACACAACACCTAACAAATTGCGGTGGCTATTCGATGACTATTGTCACAAGTAAGATCATTATTCTTTCATGACACTGCATCAGACTTAAATTTAATGGGTAAATCCCACCTAATGAAGGTGGTCTGGAGTTTTATGGAAGTAAATGGAACTGATTTTGGATCTGAATTTTAGGTTTTAAGTGTAAAGGGATGACTAAGGAGGAAGAAAGAAGATACTCTAATTTTCAGTCATAAGGTCTTGAAAACTTCACAAATTTAGTGTTGGTGTTGCTCACACAATCCTAATAAAGCATTATTACCAAAACTCTGATAAGTTTAATCTGTTTTTAATTCATCATTAACTTGGTCTTCATTAACAGAATAGGTTTTTTCTCCCAAGCCTAGAATCCTTTTGTATCCAAGATGGTAAGCTACTGGTTTTCTTTCAAATGTCTCAAAAACATAAATGAAATTCTGATCAAATTAAATTCCTAAGATGCAGAGATCTAGAGTTTCTGGCAAAGCTCAAAAATTATCAAAAGCAAAACAAAATAAAAAAATAAAAAGAATTAAGAAAACAGAAATAAAATAAAATTGTAACCATCGGCATTAATCAACATAAGATGAAACTTGTGCATACCTATTCTTGAATAAGTTCTCAGTCTGCATGCATCAAGTAATAAGACCATAATTCTAAATTGTCTTAATATTGAAGCTTGACCTTTATGACATTTTTGTGCATAGTGTAACTTTAATAATTTTATTCAGGTTTTTTCTGCCCTTTCAAGCAACCTGATTCACTGGGCCAAAAAAAAAAAAAGAAACCTGATTCAGAAGTTATTCTAAAATTGAAACATCCACTAAATTCTGCTTAGAGTTCAATTGAAGATTGCCATTTCTTGCTTGCTTGCCAACCTCTTTGTGTAGGCAGGCTTTTAGTTTTTGTCTCCCCTTTTTTTCCCTGAAGGCATCTTACTTTATTTTGTTTTTGAAGTTATAAAGTGTTTGCATATATCTGTCTGTGGCTTTCTTTCCACTTTTGTAAAATGTTATCTTGTAAAATGTTCTCAGGAAACCATCGGTCATTGTGTGGATTTTTGCATTACTGTTTGAGATGATTAGAGGAGGCTCTCAGCACAGGATTCATGAACTGTTTGAGAGGGCACTCGCAAATGATATGATGCCTAAGTCAGTTGTCCTCTGGCGTTGGTACATAGCATATGAAATTGATATAGCACACAATCCAACTGCTGCTAGGCGAGTTTTTTTCCGAGCCATTCATGCCTGCCCAGGGTAAGAATTTCTTCTCCATGTCATATCAACATGGTTATTTCTTGGCTTAAAACTCTTATAACTAATTGACTAATTCATGGTACTAGTTTAATCAACCTGTCGATGTGCTTTTGTCAGTATTTCATTAAAAAAAAAAAACTTTCGAACATAGAACTCTGAGTCTGAGATAATGTGGTTTGTCAATTATGTTTAGTAGTTCAAATTAGTAGTAAAATTCTTGATGCATTTAAAATTGAAAAATAAAATAAAAGAAAAAGAAGAAGAAGAAGAAGAAGAAGAAGAAGAGAAGTGGTAAAAGTAAGGAAAAAATAAGTAAAAAAATACAACAAAAACCTTGTAGAGCTTTCTCTATGTTGAGAATGTTTACTGTAATTATCAAGGATTGAGCATTATTGCACTAGTTTTTATGAAGAAGCTGGGTTAAATTGTTGTGTACAAATTCTTTATCACAGCAGGGAAACTGCTTGAAGTAGAAGCTCTACTCAGGTCATCAGCTGTTGAAGCTTTGGCCCAGTAGGACTATGTTTGAGATCAAAATGAAACTGAAATTCATTCCATTTTCCTAATCAAGTATTTTTGTAACTTCATGCTTATATAGTGTTGAAGCAAGCCATCTCCTTTTAGCCTAAAACTTAGGTACCTATGAGGAGCAAATGCTTATTTCTAGACTCTATGTAGACTTTTGCTATGAAAAGTGCTTAAATGGATGAACTGCATGGATTAGCTGATTAGCCAATTATTTACCAAGGATTGTAGCAATAGAGATTGTTGATCTCAGTTCTTGGTCGTCAATGTGAGCTTTTAAGTTGCATTTTATTCCTTTTTCTTCTTGTGTGTGTATCCAAAACCTTATTTTTGTTGGATATGTAATTTCCAGGTCAAAAAAGCTATGGCTTGATGGTTTTCATAAATTGAACTCCGTCATGACTGCAAAGGAGCTTTCAGATCTACAAGAAGTAATGCGGGATAAGGAATTGAATCTGAGGACAGATATATATGAGATTCTTCTTCAAGATGAGCTTGTATCGTCATCATGAGTTGCCACATTCATCTGTGCATTGTAAGGACCATATGTGATAACCCAAACTGTAACTGTAGCAAAATGTTCAAAAGAGTTGTTACATTGCATTTTTTTTTCTGGCCCTGTGATAGGATTAGAGGACAACTGTAGTTGTAGCAAAATGTTCAAAAGAATTGTCATATTGCATTGGTTTTTTTTTTTTTCCCTGTAATTGGTTTACAGATTCTTTGAGTGAATGAACCTGTGAACTGGATTGATATACTAATCGGTTTTGGTAGCACTCTTGGATTTGGTTACCGGTTTTAGAAACTTAAAAAAAAATAGTGTTTATTTGCCTTGTCTCTTAAAAATTACGAAAAATATTATTTTAAAATTATGTCATTTTAATAAATA